AAACAACCCCTTCTGACACTTCAACTTAGGGTTCACCCTCATCCTTTAATTCACACTAGAAGAACGAGTAGGACCTACAGCAGTACGCTTACCCGCCCTCCAACATGACCTATCTAGTTCGACCCTTCTGGGAGAAACACCTTTTCGTATGTCTCTCGTCACTGCCCCGTTATTAGTAGGAACAACTACCGTTCTAACCTTTCCGTCCTTATCCGTCTCACAATCCTCTACTATTCCTAAGGGCCATTTTCCACGAGTAGTAATATCCGAGGCGACAATTACCATGTCTCCTTTCTGGAAATTGCGATGCTCTTTTAGCCATTTTTGACGAGTTTGTAAAGACGGTAAATATTCTTTTAGCCGCCTTTTCCATAATACATTAGCCAAATAATTTACCTGCTTCCAACGTTTGTGGAACTTGTCTCTGATGCTTCCTTCCTCAGTTATTCCATCACATTCTCTCAATAACAGTAGGCTATTTGGTGATAGAGCTAGTCGGTCATGAGCATCCTGGACAACCAGGGTTAAGGGTCGTTCGTCTAGAATTCTCTCAATTTCAACCAGATAGGTGTCCAAGGTTTCGCCCGTTAACACCTGTTCTCTGATGATCAATAATAACAGCCTCCGTATAGATCTAATCATCCGTTCCCAAACTCCACCTCTATGGCTGGCTAGTGGGGGGTTGAAATGCCATTGAACCTGTCTTGATGATAATTCCTTACTTATTTTCTGCTGATTCCACTGTTGAACGAGGCTCTTTAGTTTCATCACACCTCTGGAGATATAAAATTCATGTGAATATTTTCTTCATCCGGATTGTTAATGTTTCGACCACATCTCTCTCTGAATAACTATGTACCATCACTTTTATTGGACACTAACTGCTGTCGTTTTGCTGGTTATCTGTGTATATCCCACTTATTGTAGAAGCGTGTTGCTGAGAAGTTTTTCAGAACTGTTGACTTTTGACTGAGCTTGCTTGCTTATTTTGTTCTGAAATAGTCTAATTGAACATGGATGATTTGATAAATTAACTTTCCTCACAACAAAGTTAAGCGAAGCGATAATCGACCATCTAATCTGGGTCTAGATTGTGACCAGGTTGTTATTCTTTGGTAATGCTTGTAGAGGACGGAAATATCCTAATAGAGGTAAAAAAGGAAATCCAGATCATAATCACCTCACAGTATTTTAAAGTACTATGCGCAAATGCATCCAGAATAAGCTAATTTAAAATCATTTCTTTTTCACTGTCTAATTTCAGCACGTGAGTTATGTTAGGTTTTTTAATCCCATCATTCTTCTTCACTTTAACATAGTTGACTTTCTGGAAAAAGCTCATGATAATTATGATGCAATGAGGATCTGTAACGCGAAGTTAGACGTTATGATCTAACTATGACTATATTGTTTTACTGTAAATTACACTTAGTCAGTAGATGTAACATGTACTTTGTACTTTTTAAGTGCAAAGTACTCCTATACGTCTGTGTTAACATCCATTCTTCGTGATAAACAGTTAAAAGTTCAAAAGTTCGTGTGTTTAGTTTGTAACGTAAGCGTTTGGCCTCGTTTAGTAAAAGTCAGTGAATATAAAATCAGTGTGGACCAGTATTGGTGCCATTACAATGTTATTTTGGGTGTAAATGTAAGTTTTAGAACCGGAAAACAATAGGTTTTTTGAGAAAGGTGGTCTTTTTTAACATACAATCTAAGCAAATCACAATTATCTCCAAGGAACTGTTGACATCCAGCAGAGAGAAAACGTTGATGATGGTTACGTTTGAGAATGTGTGTCAGGGCAAAGTGTTACTACTTGTGTCTACATTGCCACTTTGAAACATTGACGCTGATGTTTTGGATGCGTAAAAATGACATCACAGAGACTATCATACCGAGAATATTTTGCAGATAGCATTCTGATGCAGTCCACGATTTCTTTTTTCATGGAATTGTAAGGAAACCTTTTAAATAAATTGCTTTTCTTGGTCATATTTTTAAATAAATTATATCTGCTTTTGTAAACCAAACATGCCTCTAATTATCAATGTTGTGGTTTTAATTATTTGACTGTACTCGTTCTTTATTGCTTACTTTTTTTTAAATGCTATTGCTATATTTCATGTGAAACATATATTTTTTAATTTTCACTCGTACCAGACTTGATGTATTAGTAATTAGGTTACTTACAATAACCGCTTAGAAATTCAGTTGGTATTGTAGAACATTTTAGATTGAATTTAGCTACAGATCCCGACCGTAGCTGCTACCTTGATGTGGTGGTCGGGCTTGCATTTCGTGATGACCCAACCGAGCCGTATTGGCTGGAACATATGTTCCTTTAGGTTCTACCTTGACAGACAGGTCGATCGTAGAACGATGAGGCTAAAAGCAGCTACCCAAGGTCTGAGTGAGAAGTCGTACTGCTGACTGTAGAGAGGTGCGACAGCAGTAAGGTGTTTCCCTCGGACAACCAGCATCTGCAGCGATGCTACCTTCTCACAAGAAAGGAGGGGTTAGAAAAGGTCGACCCTAAAAATCACACACCTTAACCTACCTCACGGGTTCCCGTCTTCGTCGGTAAAGGCTTCCCAATAAACGCTTTAAAGAGCGGAGCTAATACTCTAAAAATCTCTCATAAAAAAGCCGTGCGTGAACGGCCACAAGCAGAAGTCCGTTTGGGTCTGAGTTCGTGCGCCTGGGTCGTTAAGACTAACGTCAATCTACCTTCTCTTTCAGGTTCCTCAAGAAACAACCTTCCTCGCTGTGGGCAGCCGGGAAGTGAGAACCGCCCTCATACCCGTAACAACACACGAGACCAAATTGGACAAATCAAATCCTTCCTACACCCCCCTAATACCTCTCTTATCTCCACGACTAACTCTTCTCACCTTCCTTTATCACACTGCACAGATAATGCAAACGATGCGAGTTCACGAAACGTCATTTCGGGTCTCCTGAAATCCCGCTCTAAACTACATGTTGAAGCATTTAATGTACGGACATTGTGTCAAATAGGGCAATAGGCTTCATTAGCTAGGACTTTAGAATCTCGTGCCATCGATGTGTGCTACGTCTTGGAAACGCGCATACAGGATCCGAGTAGCATCATTCACTTGACCTGACTATGTCAAAATGAAGAAGCAACTCCATTTACCCTTCGTGTATCCGGTAGCCCTGATGCTGCTTCCCGGGGTCTCGCTGGTGTAGGTATACCATTGAGTCGTAGGGCAGAAATATCTCTCCTAGACCTGATCGCAGTAGATAGTCGCTTGTGCGCCATCCGGCTGAACGAGACAGTAAGGACTCGGAAGGATAGGGAAACTCGCCATCGTTTCTATGTCGTATATGCCTACGCTCCCACTGACTGCAATTCAGACGACATAAGTTGTACAGGAACCTCTCTAAACTTCTGCAAAGTGGTAAGCGCTCTGGTATAGTAGTAATAATGGCTGTCGACTTTAGCGCTCAAGTAGGTAGTCTCAGCGAAAAGGAAAGACACTTGGGTGGATCTTATGGTGTCACGGCTAATACAATAGATAATTGTGACCGTCAGATGCAGCTATGCTCAGATAATGGCCTACGTCTAGCAAACAATAGATTTAAGCTTAAGGAAAAACACCTTTTGACCTGGCGAACCCCAAAGCCGACCCAACGATCGACCCAAATAGATCACATCGCCATAAGCCATCGGCGTAGAGGCTCTGTTGAAGACTGCCGCTCTGTGGCAGTGTCTGTCATTGAAAGGTGTACCAAAGAAGCACATTAACCTCATATAAGATCTCTACTCGAACACCAGTGGTCGAGTGAGAGCTTATGGCGAATTCTTTACTTCAAGTGATGTCCGTCAATGATGTCTACTTTCCCCATTCTTGTTCAATTTTGTCATAGACATGCCCCTAGATATAGCATTATGTTCGTCTGAATTTTCAGGAATACACCTTCTACCAGGAGGCTCGCTTATTGACCTAGAATATGCCGACGACATAGTTCTACCTGATGAAGAAGCCGACAAAATGCAGTATCTCCTGACTACCCCAAGTAATAATGCAGGCATGTTCGGGAAGTGATTCTCCCTGTTGAAATGCAAAATGTCGTTTAAAGATTGGGTTTCGTCGGTACCTGAACTAGTGATACGGAGTAAATAGTTGAGGGTGTAGACCACTTCACTTATTTTGGGAGTCTCATCAGTGCTGATGACCTGGTGACTGACGAACTCTGAGCACGGATACAGAAAGCTCGATTGGCTTTTGCCAACCTTCGTCACCTAAGAGGAAGGGGAGATATCCGTTTTCTAACCGAAGGACGAGTGAACTGAGCAGCAGTTCGCTCAGTCCTACTTTATGGCTGTGAAGCATGACCTGTGAGAGTAGAAGATATTCGTATGTTTCTTGTTTTCAGTCATAGGTGTCTCCGAAGCATTTCCTCTTTGAATTATACTTCTAGAATAACGTCTTCGAGCCCTAATCTCTCCGATTACTTCTAATACTTTTACTATGTCTACTACTACGGGATTTGAACTGACAACTAAGTCTCTGTGCTAAAGTGGTATGGCAACTTGAACCGTTGTACTTACGTACAAAGTTCTCCGTTGCAGTTGATGATGATGATTAGCTACAGACCTCTACTTCAGTCAACCTCAGTCAATATTTTATTGACAGTCCAATGAATAATCAACCAGTTGTATTTTATCTAATCATATTATTGTTCACGTTGGGTGAACAGATTTATTGCTCTATTAAGTGATAAGTACAAACGTGTGACAGCTGAGCCCGTGAGCAGATGATTAGAACGATGTCAAACTTGTTCGTAATTGTGTGAAGTGATCCACTCATCGGTCAATCATGTTAGTATCATGAAACTTAATACGTCAAAATCAATCTGTTTAATTTCATATGTAACAAAAATATCAAATGTTCCTGATCATCCCACTTAGGAATATTCAACTTAACCAATTTTTATTCCTAAAAGTAGGCGATAAATCACTGAAAAACCGATTATTATTTCCAATAAAACATATATTACTGTTATTTATAATGAATCAATTATGTTTTCTCAACACGTAAAATTACACGAATACAGCATAGCTTTTATTGCATGACATGAAAATCAACCTCATGATGACAAAAACACTTTTTTTTTCATTGTCAATAATATTAAAAATAATGCACAAATAATCAACAATTACAAACTATATTCAATAATAACAACACAGAACCATTTCAATTATGTAATAGAATAACTGAATAATCAATTAGATAATTTTGTTTGAAATGACTGACTGATTCTACCTTCTTTTTCTCTTCCTCTTCTTGTTCAATAGAGCGAAACAAATGAATCAATCGAAAATGTTGGATTATGGAATAATTAATCAATCAAACAGTCAATCAGTCAAATGATTCAGTAGATTTAAACTATCAAATATTGTTCAGTTTACAGATATTTCCCAGTCACGTATAATAAATATTATCTGCTTCTTTTTTTTTGTTCGAATAACGGATATTTAATGCGGTTTGTTATATGAACAAGAAAAATAAACGAAGAAAAAAAACTCTTCACTGTAAAACAAACAATCGGAAAACAGTTGTTACTTAGATGTGGATAAGACAGATAAAAGTCAAACTTGAAATAGTTGAAAAAAATATTTAGCTGAGGAGAAAAAGATATTAAATTACAGGAAGTTTGAAACAGTTATTGTTTTGTTTTAAATTATGAATCTCTTATTGACATCAGAAGGCAATCAACGAACCAGTTATTCATGTTTGTAATTTAGAATGCAGTAGAAATTCATTTTCTTTTTTGTTCGTTGTGAATAAAGAGAGATTTCGTCAAGAATTCAGTTATTAGTTGTGTTTTTTTTTATACTAGTAGAAAATCAAGTTGAAATTATCAATAATCGATCCATGCTTTGTTATGTATGCGTTTCTTTTGAATTACTTTATGCGTACATAATAATTGTAGAGCTTAACTATTTGTGATAGATTTTCTTTTCTCTTATATAAACTAGAAATTTTCTAAAATACCACTTTTCAGTGAATGAATGTGAGGAAAATAAAGAACAAAACTTTGTTTTGAAGAAGAAATACAAATTGAATTGTTTGTTTACTTGGTTGATTGACTCTCATCTATTGTTATCTATTTTTCGATTTTCTACTAACACATCCACAAAGGAGTGATTTTCCTCTATTCTTTGATTGGTTGATATTTGTTCTTGGTTCAGCAATCAAATCTTGTTTTTGATGATGTTTCTTCTTTTTACTTAATATCGATGTTAATGTTTTGGATTTCGGTTGATTTTCTGTGAAGCAAAAACAGACAAGAAATGTAAATTGTAAATTATGATGTTTTGATAAGATGAGTTAAAGCGAAACAAATCAAACATGCATCGATTCAGTTCGAACAAATAAGTGTTCAAGTAATGTCTATTTGAAATTGTGTAGATGGATGAGGTTACGGTGACTATAAGCTTGGAAGTTAAAGCCTCTGGTATGGTGATGAGTGACTTAATCTGTTAGAATGAGAACGACAAATCGTCTGTGACATGTAATCACATCCTGAGGAGTAATTGTATAACTTTGTTATTGAGAGGTTATATACAGGTTTAATTTACCGAAAAGGCAAGTATTCACTTTGTAGGTCATCGATGAATTGATATCAAATACTGCTCGATTCAATTTATCAAAGTCTGACTGCTAATCTGACAGTAAATAAACCATGTAAAAAGAAGTGTATTCATCAATCATTTCGAAGGTCATATATGCAGCGATGTATTATATACACAACCAGAAAAAAAAGTACAAAGTTTCACTTGCTTGGTAATACTTTAAAAAAACATAAGAACATAGATGTTTACTCACTGTTATAGTGTACTTAACCTTATAGATTGAAACACCAGTTCAAGACAGACAATCCGTTTTGTGCTCTAATTGCTTTAAGTAGTTTATGGTTATGGTGAAATTAGATGTGTATAATCATGGGGTACAGATTTCTTAAAATTAAAGAATATACGAAAGAATTTTAAAACACCACACTGAAATAATAATATGTGGATGTAAGATATTTTCTTTGCTTTTAAACGCTTATTTTGTACCGATATTGATTGTAGATAGCTGAAACTTTCTTATACCTGACTAACCGATGTAAATTCAATTCGTAAAGTCCTATTGCATGAAAAGAACAAATATTTAAATCTTAAGTAAATTTCAAATACACTAATTATTCTTTTCAGATAAATTGGAAAACAATGAGAATCATGCATGAAACTAGCTGAAAACCTGTTGTCAATTCATCAGTTTACTGTGAATAAAAAAGCACCTTTCCAAATTGTGTATTTTTTGTCGAAGCGATCTAATCTTTCATGAATATATTAGGTCATGGTAAACTGAAGCGTTGGCTGCCATACAATTTAGCGTTAGTTAAGTAAAAATTGATATTTGAAGCAGAACCAATCATCTTTGCTGTCCTCTACTACAACTGTTCATTATTTAGGATATCAGAGATAATAATGTTTTAAAATGCTAATTTTTTCAGCAAATTTTCTAGCATAGTTTTTCGTTGTTGATAATTAAAACTAATTTTGTTCAGTTCCTTTTAAGCATGAGTGAAATGTTAGTTATCAGTAACAGGACAATACAAACAAGTTGTTTGACTTTCAAGATTCAGTAACTTATTCGTTAAGTAGTTAATATTTCAAGTAATTAGTTTGAGTCTCAGTGTGCATTACATGACTGGTATGCAGATATATTCGGTTGATGAGTTTTAGACAGATTGAAATTTGGATTTCCCTATCAAATACAATGCCAAGCATAATTAAAAGGTCTTAATTTAGATAAGTGTATCAACGAACTTATTTGTAACAAGAATCTTTGCATTAATCGAGATTTGTTCAAAAGAGTGAATAAACAGCCATGTATGAATATTGTTGAAAAGTTATATGTACATAGCTGAATGAAATATAAATTTCCTGTTATCGAGGCACATCTGATAAGATTATTATTCATTTTGTTGTATATATTTACTGAAAGGCACTTTTGCAAATCATTTGACTACAATCTGCATAATTGTCCATTTAAACTATCTATTTTCAAATCTATTCACACTATTATATGATAATCATATATGCTTCGGTATTTCTGTATAATTGTATGTATGTGATCGTGTCTATTTTATGATTTTTATTTAATGTATAATTACTATAGTAACATAAAAGAACATGACTACTTTTTAGGAAAAAAAATAATTTTTGCAAATGATTTCATCCCCATAGTAACATTAAATTGAATGAGTTTAATCAACTTACACCATTTATTGTAGGTGAAACGATATTTTTTGTGGCAAAAACGATAAGATAAACCGTGAAATTAAGTAGCGATTAATTAAAAGAAGTTTTTCATTTTCGTTTAAATTTTTATGAAATTAAGTGTTTGCTCACAGAATAACAATCCATAACAGAAATATAATAGCCTTAAATGATCAAGAGTTCTTATTCTTTGTTGCTTCATTCAAAAAGACTATTGAGCTGGTGTGTAGGAGGATGGACTATCAAAATTATCTGTGATGTACTGCGCCTGAGAACAAAAAGTTAAAATATCATTGTTTAATTATGTTGGAGACGTTAAATCCCTGGAACGCACTCGGAAAAAGGTCCTAATTTTGTTATTTATTGCTGAAATTTTGAATTTTTTATGTTTTCGCGCCAAAGGCGCTTATTTAAACTTTAGCTTACATTTCTCAATCGGAAAATGCTTGACTGTCATTGGTGGATGGATTATTTTAGTAAGCTACTTTGTGGCGTTTTATCATTGCATAAATAAGCTTGAGTTGTGTGCCTGTCGACCTCGTACTTTCTGGTTGCCTGTGGAATACATTCTCTACGTCTTATCAAGACTTCTTCCTCTAGTTAGTGGGGCCCGGGACGATCGAATTAGAATAGCCTATCGTGTAGCTGAATCATTGGCCTTTGTTCCACCACCGAGTAAGGTGAACCCATAATGGCTCAGGAATATCAAATAAATGTTTCATAAACTGATTAACTACTCAGTTGTACATATATCCAGCTCTTGGTGATTATCTAATTTTATTAATTAACGCTGCGAAGTGGCCAACAATCAAAAGGATATGTGATACAGGTTAAAATCTCACGATGAGCATCAGTTCTTTCAAGATTTGTGAAAAATCCTAGAGAAAAAAGTCAACTAGTATAAAATCAAAGTTTAGGCCTCCTGTTAGTTACTGTTAAGCCCTCAATTCAACTTTCACTGATTTGAACAAACCGTTTAAAATATTTTTTATAATCGTCGTTCAATGAAATTCGCTATTTCACTAATTATCCTGATAAATGTTTGTCAGTATATAACATAAATTCAGGAAATCATCATAAATTAGAAAGAAGCCATAACGAAAAGGAAATACATGAGCATATCTGATATGTATCAGCAGTATACAGTTAGAATTATTTTTAAGCTGAATTTAGTCTAATCAATTCTCATCATACTATTTCGACTGGATTATATAAACCAACAGTATATTTTTCTGTCCGTACATAGGAAATGACAGTTTGTGAATATCAAGGTATTATAAATTAGTTCTAATTTGATTGTACAGGATAATGATAACAATCTTTTTTTTTTGGAGGATATAATTGATTCTGAATAAATGATGCATGAAATTGTCAGCAAATAAATTGATTCATGGTAGATTTGCTTATGTAAAGATTGCTGCTTGCGTTTTTTACATATGCAAGATTGTACTTCTCAAAAGATAATAACCCATTTCATTATATATAAACAATCAGAATAAAAAGTAATTTCATGTATTGGATCAATTACAAATGACCTTATGTAGTTTATCTAATAAAAGTGCTTCACATATATTTTCAATAATAAATGGCAGTATTGAATTTAATAAAGAAATTGTTCTTGTTTTAGAGTACAACTGAATTCATTTGTTTGGAGAATATGTATAATTCAGTTTAGTGTTTAGTGTTAACTGAGACTTATAAAATACTTTTCAAGTTTTCAACCAACAGCTTATTTTACTTCAAAAAACTATCACTCTAACGATTTTAGTCACCTTACTACATAAATTACTGAATAATACATCAATGAATACTCTGTAGACTTTAAAAATCATTATAACTTCAAATATTATGTCTGTAAATAAGTTTGTGCAACCTCAGAGTAACAAAAGTGGAAATAGTAATGGGGTATTTGGTATGTTTCAGGACAAATGCTAACTTTTTCAAAGTTTCACATAAATATTGTCAAAAGGTTTTCAAGAAACGTCAGATATAACTTAAGAAGTTCTCTTGATTTAGTTTTTCTAGTCCTACAAGAGACAGTTAAGTGCATTGACAGAGACATACAAATACGTGTTACTAAAAGCATATAATGTAAACATTTTTGTAATATGTGACAACTACAATCAACTTTATCGATATGACTTTTTCATGTAAGGGCTGATGTAATTCAGAGACATCGCGAAATGCAAGTATTTTGAACATTTTTCTGAAGTATTTATGTGATTATTTCTTGATATTTCAGGTGTGCAGCGTCTACTGCTTGCTAATTGAACTAATACAGATTAGATAAATAGATAGAAATACATAAATGTAAAGTTTTACTGAGATGATGAATTACCAATATGGTATGAAATGAATTTAAAACAATATGGTTTAGAGACAAAAAAACTTGTTATTGTTTTACATAAAGCGGAAAAGTAATCCAATAGAAATTAGAATTCGTTTGATTGATTCTATATACTCATATATCCAGACGCTTAGTTACATTTCAACTGTATCAGTGAAACATATACATTGAAACAATCGTTAAATAATAAGTGCTAATGCGAAACGATAAATGTATAGTAATCATATCGTACATACGCACTGAGGTCATCGAGCAAAATTTACATTTCTGATAGATTTCTAACAGAATTTGTTATTAATTCTCATTTATATTGCAGTGTAGAGAACTTTATTCTGCATGAAACTTATAGATTGTTACTTTTCTCACTCGATTGTATATAAACACAGTAACACATTATATTGTGATTTTTTAGTTAGACAAATTTTCTTTCATTAATATAGATTAATCAAACGACAGTTTCTAATACTTTGTTTCTATGTATTAAATAAGCAAAAAAATGCATGAAGTTTTATTTAAGGTCATTCAAAATAAACATTTATTTGCAACTGTTATAAGTGATCTGCTTGAGTATTCATAGAGATTTATGAGAATTTATTTATCTGTTAGCTGTCTACTGTTAAGCCAAATAGATGTCTAGAATAAATAAGACGTT